GGTGAGGTAGCAAAGAATTTGTTGGTAAAGCTAGAAAGTAAAGAAGTATTTTCTTCTTGAGAAGAAGTCATTATTATAGATGTGTTGGCATGTAGAAAGTTGAAGTATTATTATATTTATGTATTTTTGATTTTGTAATTTTTGAGAAGAGAAAAAAAATGTGAAAAAACGAAAAGTGCAAAAGAAGAATTAAAAGGAAAAAAGTAATTAGTAAAGGATTAGTATTAAATTGAAGCTTGGGATGAATATGGTGAATTGTGATAGTAGAAAAGCTTGGATGAAACTCTTGATAATGAACTTGGAGAGTTTTGGTAACTTGTAATTTTGCTCCACCTGTGGATCAAGGATCTACAGAGGAGAGATACAAGAGTTTTTTTTTATAATTATTTCTTTCATTGTTATTATTATTACTGTTATTTCTATTATTATTATAACTGTTTCTTTTATTATTATTGTTGCAGTTACTGTAACAATCTTTAGCAAGATGTCCAATTTTTTCGCAGTTGTAGCATGAAATATTGTTACAATTGAAGTTAGTTTTATTATTATTATTATTATTGCATTAAAAATTGTTGTGATTATTATTATTATTATTATTGTTGTTCAAGTTTTTAATTTGTTTAGTCAATTCTAATAAGATTGTGTTGATGTCAGTGTTATTGGTTGTTGTGTTTGGTTGCATTAGTAATCTATAATTGTATAGTATGATTGAGATTACCAATGTAAATGAATTATTATAAGTGATTTTGAATCCAGTTTCTGTTTCAATAGCAATAGAAATAGCTTTTTCAAATGTTTCAGGTTGATGCAAATTAATGAAAAAGGCATATTGTGGATTGAGACCTTTGGTAAATTCACGAATTTTGTATTGAGTTGAATAGGTATTGTCTGGGTCAATTTTGTGAAGCAATGAGCGAATATCAGCTGCATATTGGCTAACTGATTCATTTGCGCTTTGGATACGGTTATTTAATTGTTGTTGCCATAGTAACAGTTGAGTTTGTGTACAGAATTCTTTTAGAAAACATGGTTTGAAAGAGGTTTCTTGGTTGTCAATATCATTGTAATGTGTGGGCCATGCATTATTTGCTTGTACTTGATTTTTGTACCAATGATTGGCAATACCACGTAGGTATGTTGGTATAATGCAAATTCTTCTTTCATCACTCATATTATTAGTTCTTGTAGCTTGTTCAAATTCTTCTATCCAAGTGATTGAATCTTCTTGATCATTTCCATGAAATGTTGGAATTGGAATTGGATCTTGATTTTGATTGCTAATTAGGTCTGCTAATTGTTTGAAAGTGACATCTAAAGTGGCCATTGTTGATGATGAAGATGATGGTGATGGTGATGGTGATTTTAATTCAATGTTTTCTGGTAATAATGGAGATGAATCAAGAATTAAAGCATCTTGTTCTTTTTCTTCAAAGTTTAATTTATATTATTCTTTACTAAATTTGTATTAGACTAATTTTAATTATTTTCAAACTAAGTTACATATTAATAAATATATATCAAAAAATATTGAATTTGAATTTGAAAAACAAGATTTTTTGGGAAAGTAAAATATTTTTTTGCTTATAAATATTAAAAAATAATTAATTTATATTTATATTAGTATAATGAATATATAAATTAAAAACTATTGAATATAATCTAAAAATATTATAGAAAATAAATTACAAGAAAATTATAAGTATTAATTTAATTAAAAATATTAGATTTTTAGTAGTATTAAATAATAAATATTATATAATTAATTGAGAAAATTATAAAAATAATATAATCAAATTTCTGAGATAAATTTATTAATAATTAATAAAACTTAGAATATTAATATTCTATATTTCTGATCATTTTCTGATATTAATATTTTATATTTTGAACTATTTTCTATACTTAATCTAAAACTAATAAAAATTAAAATTAAATTAGATATTTTTAACAAATTTTTGATAAATAAAATAAAATCAGAAATAAATTTATTTATTTATATTTTAGATATTTCAGACTATTTCTTATATATAAATCCAATAAAAATATTAATTTTAATTAGCTTTTATTAGATTTATATTAGGTTAATATTTTGAAATATATTTGAAATAATCTAGAAAATACTTGAGATAAGCCTGGAATAAGCAAATTAAAAATTATTATTTCAGACTTATTTTAAAATATTAATCTCATTTACAAAAAAATAGAATATCATATATTTTTTTATTATATCATTTTTTTATTTTAATATCTTTTCTTTTTTAATTTTTATTCTTTTATAACTTATAACTTTATTTTTCCTTCAAATTATAACAATTCAGTAAAAATTGATATAAAACTTAGATATTTTTCTTTATTATTCTTATTTTATTTTTTCAACTCTTATTAAAGTTTATAAGCTAATTTATTAATTAATAAACAAACCTGTAATAGTATTAAACTTATTAATAGTGAAATTATATATATACTATAGTAACTAAAATAATTGATTTATGAAAACCAAGTTGAATAGAAGAAAATTAGAAGTATCTATTAATTATACTGATAATTCACATGAGCAAATAAAAAATCTTGTTGAAAATTCTGCCACCAAAAATGATACTGAAGGTAAAACTGAAGATGAAAGTGAAAAAGAAATATAAAGAAAAATATTTGAATGATCAGCTCTTTTGTTATAATGAATAAATAACTAATAAAAAAGAAACACAAATAAAAGAAAAAAAATAAAAAAACAAATTATGAGCCACCAACCTGTCATACATTCCAGGAATGCTTTAATATAACGATATTTCTATCTGTTTTCTGATATATTGGTTAAAGCTCTGTTCGGGTCGGGTTTGAGGTCAATCCGAATTTCGGGTCGGGTCGGGTTTGACCCTAAAATCGTAAAATAGTTTTTCGTTAATAACGTTTATTTTTACTAAAACACTTGTATTTTGTGTCCTAAGTAGAGTTGTTTGAAATGTAATTGTGTATATATCCACAAATTTTCGTTTAATTACAATTAATATTGAACGAGAAACAACGATTGTTAGGCTGATTTGAAATATTTCGGGTCGGATCACGGATCGGACCCGACCAGGTTGGAGCACTAATATTGGTATAAATTTCCCTGATTGTAAATAACGTTGCTTTTTTGGATAGATAATAATGTTAGCTGACATCATTATTGGCTATGAATAAATAATACGAGAAACAATTATTCGGAAGTGGGTCAAAAAATGCATATTTAAGGATGCGAAATTTGATCTTTGAAAACAACTGACACTACCACTACCGCTACCACTAAAACGAATAAAAAATTGCTACTACAGTACAAATATAAAATAAAAGTATGAAATATATCACTTTAGTTGTTTTCATTTGCAATTCTCACAATTGCAAATGGTTCTATCTTAAACAGATCGTAATTATTATTTCATATTAAGCTTTTCAGTAAACCCAAATGGCACAGGAGGTGATTAATGTTGTTTTGGTTAGGTCCAGAATGATTATTTTTATAAATTATATTTAACTTGTTTCTGTGGCCCAGTCAAAGGTTTTGACAAATAAAATTATCTTGTTTTATGGCAAAATTGATTTTTTATTAATTTACTTGATCTGTATTGGTTACGGTAGCGGATTCAAAAGCAAAGCGGGATTACCAATCAGCAATTATCATCCTGAAAGATCGTTTTTGTTACTATAAATCGCCACACTGTAAATAGTTGAAAATTGTATTTAATTGAGGTTTAAATTTTCTTGGGGAGGGGGTGAGATTACGGTATATTTCATTAATTTATTAATTATCGTTATCGTTATAGATTTCTTAACTTTAAAGATCGACTTCAATTTTTATAAACGTACTTGGGCAGCAGGTGTAGTCTTAATTATATTAACTATCACCATTTCAAACAAAAATCTTTTTATAAAAGAAAAAACTTATAACAGTTGTGCTACTGTTATTATCATTTTCTTTTTTAATATTCCTCGAAGAAAAAATTATGTACAGTCAGGGATCTTTATACCGGTATATTGGGAAACAGATATAAATATCGTGAGATATAACGGGATACGTTTATAAGATGCTTATTTTAAAATGCTTTGTTAAAAGCTGTGGTTTCACTTCCAGGCTCTGAGTAATGCTGCGACAATTCTTTGTAGTGAATTTGGCAGATTTGTCAATATAGAACAAAATTATGTGAAAAACTAACAAGAAGCAAGCAATTGTGTGTCCATAGCATAACTTCTTGAAGAAAAATTTTCATTTTTATACGCAATAAATAATATTTATTAAATTCCAAAGCGAATAGACTAGAACGGCTCGCATAGCTCAGTTGGTTAGAGCGTGGTGCTAATAACGCCAAGGTCGCAGGTTCGACCCCTGCTGTGAGCATACTTTAGTCATTAAAAGCAGAGTTCAATATATAAAAGAAATCGAACCAAAACGTTTGATTTTATATCGATATGATTCAAATAACGACGAATTTTCTTGGCAGATTATAACTCATTACGTACTATTTAAAGTTATTCTTTTGTCGCGTCGTAGTATACGTATCCATACATATGCTGAATGCAAGCTATCTTACCCCGATGTTTATTATAAATGCCATCTATAAGAAAATAATTCGAATGTTTTGAGCAAAATAAATTTTTATTATCGTTTTGCTAAAATAGAGCCAAGTAGAAGTGTTACTAACAGATTTTCCTATTCCTGATATAAAAATATATTTTTAATAATAATTTAAATTTATTTAATTTTATGAGAAAATGTATTGTCGTCACGTATAAGGTTTCAGTTAGGATTAGAGTTAAGGTTATATAGTATAGTAAAATTTCACAATGAAAATTTTTTTGTTAGAATATAAAAAACAGTTTTATAGGTAAAAATTCGAGATACAGACTATTTTTTTAAAAAAAGAGCATTTTCTTTGTTTTGTTTTAAATTTTGGCATTACACTTTGATTTTGCAATTTGATTTTGCAATTATTAGTCAATCGCAATAATTTTGGTCACAAACCGGCCGGTAATTGTTTTCGTGATAACAAATAGACTCACCCTCTTGGGGGTTAACGAAAAACTATACGGTTTTCGGATCAAATCCGATCCGAATTCGAATCGATCCGAATTCGAATCGATCCGAATTTATCGGATCGAGTTGATCTCAAATTCGACTCGACCCGAACAGAGCTTTAGATTGTTGTTGGATTTGTTTTATTTGTTGCTCTAAAGCTCTGTTCGAATCGGATCGAATCTGGTTTGAGATCAACCCGCACGATAATTTCGGATTTGATCCGAAAATAATTTTTTGTTAATAACTTTTATTTTTACTAAGATACTTGTAAGTAAAGTTGTTCGAAATGTAATTGTATATATATATATATATATAAATTCACAAAATTTGTTTAATTTTAATTAATATTAAATGAAAAATAATAATTTTTAGGCTGATTTGAAATGTATGTTCTGGATCGGATTACAGATAAGATCTGATCACAAATAGAATCTGATCCAGTTAAAGTATTATATTGCTTTGTTTTTTGAAATTCTTGCTGAACTTCAGTTTTTTATTGCTATTAATTTTTTGAATTAATTGCTTTTTGAAGTTGACTTAGTTTTTGTTAACTTGTTTTTTTAATAATATTATATTTTTTATTATTTTAAAAAAGCAGACATAATTTTTTTTAATTTATTAACTTTATCTTTTTCAATAGATTTATTTTATTTTATATTTATAAATTACAATATATAATACTTTTGTTTTTAAATTATATAATATATATATTATAAATAAAAAATTATATTTTATATTTATAATATTCAATATTATAGTTTCATATAACTTATTATATTTTAATTAAAGATTAAATTAGAATTGGAATCAGAATTAAGCTTTTTTTAAAAAATATTTAAAGTAAAATATTTTTTTGTTAATATACAAAAGATAATTTATAAACAAATTATTAAAATAATAATTATTTTTTAATTTTTAAGAGATTTTCCATTTTTATATTTGTTTTGAATTTTGTATTACATATTGATACTGTAATTTAATTAATTAGATTTAATAACTTAATTAGTTAATTTAATACTAGTATTTAATATTAGTAATATGATTTATAAATATTATTATTATAATTATTAATAAACTTAATAAATATAATAATAAAAAATTAAAATTATAAATAAAACTTAAACAAATAAAAAAATTGGAATTTTTATTAAAATTTAATATAATTTTTTATTTGATTTTTAAAGAATATATTTAAATTAAATAATTTAATATAAAATATATTATATAATTAAAAGTATTATATATTCTAAAATTAAATCTTGATTTTTATAATTTAATTAGATTTATAAAATATAATTCAAATTTTAAATTTTTAGATATAATATACAATAAATTAATATATAAAATTTAAATTTGAGATATAAATAAAAAATATTTTGATAAAAAAGATATTATATAAAATTAATAATAATACAATAATTAGCAATTAGTAATTAGAATTATATAAAAATATTATTATTTAATTTACTATATTTAAATAAATTAAATAATAATATTTTCATATAATTTTGAGTATTAATTATTAAAGTATTATATTAAAAGTTCTTATATATTAGATTTTTCTAATTTAAAAGATAATATCTTAATAAAAATTATGTAAAAAAAATTATTATTCAATTATTTATATTTAATAAATCAAATATAATATTTTTATATAATTTTAATTATAAAATATTAAAATATTATTTTTAAAAATTATTATATATTAAAATTTAATATATATTAATAAAAATTTAATATATAGAAGTAAAAATTTAATATATAATAATTTTTAAGATAATATTTTAATATTCAATAATTAAATTACATAAAAATATTATTATTTAATTTGTTTAGATATAATAAATTAAATAATAATATTTTTATTAATTTTAATTATTAGTTATTAAGATAGAATTGGTATTTTTTATTTTTGATTAATAATTATTAGTTAACTTATCAAAAAAGAAAATTAAAATATTATATTTGAAAATTTTGATCATTAATTTGACAAATATTTTTAAAAATTAATTAAATTCCAATTTTATATTAAAGTATTATATATTTTTTTACTTTATTAAAATATTCAATTTTTTTATAAAAATTAGTATTTTAAATATAGTATATAAAAAAATTATTACTTGTTATATTATTATAATTTTTTGTAAGATTATATAAAATTAAATTGGATTTTTAGTTATAATAAATATATTAAAATTTGTATTATTTATAAAGTTTTTTTAATCATAATTTTAACTTAGTCAAAATATTTTTTTTAGCTTATATAAATTAATATTAAACAAATATAAAATTAATTATTTTTTAGTCTGATAATTTTAGAATATGATATTTTATATTTAATAATTAAATTAAATCAAGCTAATTATTATTTAATTTATTTTAATTAAATATTTTAAATAATAGTTAATTAAATTACTAAATATAAAATATTATATTTTAAATTATCAGATTAAAAAATAATTAATTTTATATAAATAATTTTTTTTGATTTTAAAATATAAAGCCAAATTAATAAATATTATAAAATTATATAATAATAAAAATATTAATAAATTTACTTAATATTATTTAATATAATAAATTCTATAAAAGAAAAATATTATTTTATAACTTAAATTTTTGTAATTATATATATAAAATTATAGTTTTCTATAATATTTAAAAAAAATTTAGTTAAACTAAATTTATTTAATAATTATATATAATAACAATCAAAAATAATATAATAATATCAAAATTTTATTAATAAATATTTTTTTATTTTTATATTTAAAATAAAAATAATATTATATTTTTTAGATTTAATCTGATAAAGCTATTCTAATTGAATATAAAGTTAATTATTTTTTTATAATTAAAATATATAAAAAAAATAATTAACTTTATATGTAATTAAAATAACTTTATCAGATTAAATCTAAAATATTTGAAAAAAATATATATTAAAATATCTAATATTATCTTTATTTTAATATAAAAATAAAAAATATTTATTAGTTAAATTAAAAACTTTTATATAAAGAAAATTCATATTTTATTATATTTAATTAATAAATTTTGATATCACTGCATTATTTCTAATTGTCACTATATTTATATAATTTTGATATATAAAAATATATATTTAAAATAAATATTAGTTTAATAATATTAAAATCAAGTGAAATTAATATAATAAAATAATTAACCTCTATAAAAATAATATATTAAATTTCAAACTATCAAAATTTTTAATATTTATAAAATTATAATATTTTATATTATTAAAATATATTTTAATAAAAAAATCTTATTTTATTTTACAAATAAATGAAATAAACTACAAATAATTTTAATAAAAAGTAATGAATAATTGATAAAATTTTGATTTTATTATTATAAATTGCTTAAAATTTCAAGTGTGATTATTATATTTTTTATTTTTTGAATGTTAAAATATTCAGAAATAAATAATATAATTTTTGAAAAAAAATTTTTGAATGAATTTTTTATTCTAGTTATTATAAAAAAGAATTTTGCATATATAATTATAAAAATCCAAGTTAAGATATGATATAATTTTTTTGTGTTTTTATTATGTGGAGTTTATTATTTATTGCATACTTTTGACCATATAATATAAAATGAGATCGAGTAAAAATAAATTAATTATTAATTAATTATTGATATAAAAGTTGGGATTATAGGATTCTTTTGTATAACTATATTTTTGAGGATTTTCTATATTTTTAGACTCACACTTCTAACTGATTTTCATTTCTAGTTCTATATGAGTGTGGTAATAATTGGAATATTGAACTAATTTCCATTTGTATTTGCATACAAGAATCTTTTATAGTAGAGCTTGCCTGAAATTCTTTGATAATAAATTAAAACATTCAAGACAGACTTGAAATGTGCTAAGTTGATAGCGACAACGATGACACAGTCTACATGTATATAGGCAAAATTTTAATGTTAAATATGAACTTCAAATAAAAAGTTGAACCAATAAATCTCTTTCAAAATTATCAGCTCAAGTTTTGTGAACCTTTTTTTTTCGTCGAGCTATGGACCTTTAAAGTCAGGTAATTTATATAAGCGGTACAATTGGAAGCGCATGTCTCTTATTTTTGACTGGTCAATTTTCTTCAAATGATCCCTTCATAGAGTAGAGAACTTTTTTTGATCGTGGAATGTGAGAGGTCTGGCGTATTATTTTTGACCTACGGTAAGATATACAAAGGATTAAGGGTTCAAAAGCAGCGAAAGCTCGCCTGACCAATCAAATATGCGAAAGTTACACAGGAAAGTTTATTGCTCAGAAAAGCGTCCTCAGAAGACTCAGATTATGTTGTATTAGATGATGTTTATTCTTCCGAATTTGAATACTAATCAATCTCACACCAGTTAAGTTAATGTGGACTAAAACAACAACAAAAAAGCACGCGGCCTTCAAAGCACAAAATATCGAAAAATAGGACCATCGGGATCCTTGACAAAGGCAGCATATTCTATTTTGTCAATTTCAACATTTGTCAGAAAATTAAATCAGAGCAACAAGAATTTAAGACGAAGGAAAATGAAATCATTGAGAGAACAGAAATAATTTAATTGAGAACATATTCTATGGGTGATTTGATTTTAATTTCGAAAGAAACAAGCAAAGCAATAGTTCAAGTGACCACGACAACAATTCTAGTGATAATCATTATCGCAGCAATGAGCATAATTATGACCACAATCATGACAACAGTCATAGTAATAATCATAATCATGACAATGGCTATGGCAATGACCACAACTATGGCAACAACCATAAATATGATCACAATTACAATAATCACTACATGTGTAATCATGATCACGACAATAAATATTATGGTAACGGTCACGGCAATAGCCACAATTACAACAGTGAGCATAGCATGTCAATAACTATAATTATGGCAATGATTATGATCACAACAACGATTATGATAACGATCATGACCACGACTATGATTACGCAACAACCACAATCATAACAACACTCATAGTAACGACAATTATTACGATTAAAACTACGAATACAGCAACAGCCTGGCAATGACAATGACTACAGCTACGATCATGTCAACACTTACAATAATAGCAATACTTCGCTATGGCAACATTAATACCAATGAAGATCTAAGCGAGAAAAAGAACGTTACAAGCTTTTTACAATTCTAGAATCAATTTTAATTGGGAGCAAATTACCTTCGTACACATATACTTCTGTTATTGGAAAAAAGATGGGTTAGGCAAAATAGATCAAGTAAGAAATCGGCCAAGGAAACATATACGTGAAAATGGTGAAAGAACTACTTCGTAAATTCATCGAAAATAACTAAGCGTTCAAATGGGTTTTAGTGCTTTACGCAAATCTATTTCTATTAATACAGCTGTATTTGGTTACGAAAACTTGGGCTCAAACATCAATTTGGACTATATGATAGCATTTCTTAAAAAATGAAAGATTAATGCCATCTTTATGGAAAAAATCCTGAATGTTCTACGTATTTTATGTTAATGATGATTGTCCTATTGTTTGAACTCCTATTGGTGAACCTCCATTATCGTTAGCGAGTTTCTCTTAGAACAATTGGTCGTCTCAAACCGATTGAAGAAGCTCAAAATAATCCAATAATTTCGTCACGACCTGGAAAACATGATCAAATTGTCAATTATGCGTTCCCTAATTTTGAAACACTTTATCCGAACGCTGTTGCCATTTTTGCATTTGATAATAGTACCAATCATGGTGCAATACCAATTGGTGGGTTGAATATAGACAGAATAAATCTTTTACTTTGAGGGAAAAATCCACTATGCATGATACCTATTTTGGACCGAACAACATTTACCGAAGTTTAATTTTCCCACAAACTCATCCTACTCATTCTAACAAAACAAAAGGAATCAAACAAATATCAGTAGAATGTGGATTGTGGCCAACAATCGTAACAAATTCAACCTTGATTGCAATCTTTGCAAAGAAAAAACAAGATAATGGATCCCAAACAAGTTGATGTGTGCGTCAGTCATTATCAGTTTAACCAGATTTCCAAGAATAGAAGTCCAAGATTGAGATAGTGATTAAGTCAAAAGAACATAAATGCATTTTTTATCCCAAGTGCCATTGCGAATTGAACTATATTGAAATATATCGAGGTAGTTAAAGATTTATGTGAGTACATTGCAAAAAACAGTACTAGAAGCAGTACAATTAGAAAATTTGCACGCAAATCTTAAAGGTATATGGATGTTTATAAAAAAATGTTTTAATAGGTAAATTAGCTGAATTTGCAGCAGTTTCTGATGAGGTATGTAATGAAAAGAGTTTTTAGTTTAATAAGAAAGTAAAAATATTTTGTGACACAAATTGGAAAAATTTGAAAATCATTAAAATACATTGTATGTTCTTGAGTAAACACGATAATATTTTTGTAATTATCGTTATAGACTGATCGCATGGAAATTTGATTGGCACTTTACGTAGTTTTAAACCTAGCTTTGTTTGAAATTATGAAATAGAACGATTAATACAACTCTTGTGAAATAGCAGCGCGTTTATAATGTAACATAATATATTTTTTATTTTTTTTAATGGCTAAAAGTAATTTGGGCGTTATTCAATAGAAAAGGTAATTAATCAAAAAAATTTATTGGTTTCTATGATAAAGTATAATTATGTGAACAGAATTCATGTCATATTAGTTTTGAGATATCATTTTAAATTCACACACCGATGTCAAAAACGCGATTTTCTCAAAATTGTTTCTTCCTTTCGGCTGAACAGCACTCATTTTTGGAACATTTAATTATTATGAGTTATGTTAGATTAATGTTTGCATAACTATAGGATTTGACCTTGGGATTTAAATACCACGTAAGTGCTACATAATATATTCTGTATGACCGGACTTTTAAGATCCCCTAGTTTATGGTTTTTCGATCATTAGATTCAAAAAATAACAGCCGTAATTGGTTAACCGGAACTTGTTTAATGGATAACATGTACTGTTAATGATATCAACATGATGGCGCGAAGTTTGTTAAAATATACTTTGATTAAGTGATTAGAGAGATGGAAAGCTAATTAAATAGTATTTTCTCTTTAAAACAAGCTTCTGCTGTACGTAGTAAAGCTTTATATTCTCTTAATTATTTGATTGGTATATATAATGATACCTTTAACTATATATTCTTTGACTAGACGATTGACTGAACACCATATTTAAAGGTCAATTTAATACATCGCAAAAAACATTTTTCATAACAATAACAAACACGCGTATCGAATCCTTAGCACTAGAATATTCTAGATAAATCATATTATTGAAAATGTCCCACCCGGATCTTTGTTTCCGAGCAGAACTTTGTAAGATACTATCAAATCAAACAGCAAACTTTAAACAGCTAATACGAGTTCACGCACACTTAGTTCGTCAAGAACGCTTTGCCGAAATCTCTACAAATCGCGAGACCATCACTCAACAAGCACACGACCTCCACGAATCCTGGAAAGAAATAATTAAAAGTGTATACCGTGATCTACGCATAGAATCACGCACGTGGACTTCGGAAGAGATTGACATTTGGATCTGGCTCACGAAATTCATCACGAACAGCATACGGGTCGGATACCTTTTTGCGGATCCGGAAAACTGTATTGGTACTGCAGCACCAGAAGCTTCACCACCAATTCCATTCGATGAAATTCTGTATACCCTACAAATGGTCGAAATAGAATTCGTGCGATTATCTTGTCGCCTTTTGAGCTATTATGAAGTTTATCCAGAAAATCTGCGCAACAAATATTTGCCAAAGATTACGAATAATTATTCGTCGTCGTTAAGTGAGTATCGCGAGTCGTTGAGAAAGTGGATCTATGATGACTCGGATAGTTGTTTGGTGGTCGGTGAACGTGGCAAAAAACTGCAGCCTGATTGTTTTGACGATTGTTTAAGGTTTGCTGATTTAATTGGGATGAATAGGGATTGGCAGATGGATGCTCTTAAAAAGTTTGATAAGATGAAGAAGAAAAAATCTCCGAGGTAATAAATAATAATATTGTTGGTCTGTTATTATTTTGACTGATTTTTATTTTCATTTAGTAGCGATACAATGGAACAACCACCATCATCACCATCGTATTCTTCCTGAGAGAGAGATGATATTTGAGTTATAGCGATAGAATTGTATAACAACCAAACCATATATGGACTCTTTTACTAATATATTTAATTATTGTAGTTTCAATCTGAAATTTTTTATGATTATTAACATAACACTAGATAGAGAATGCTATTTTTTTTAATTTATTTTGCTATTAAAAAATAAGTCATCATCGAATATCAGTAGAGTATTTCTTATAGAACAATATAGTTATCAATTAGAATAGAGAAAAACAAATTGTGAACTATTATGTTCTGTCAAAAAAATATAAAGCTCTGAGAATAATTTTATCATAAAAAAAATTCAACTTAAAAAATCACTTGACTATATACTAATAACTCGATAAAAACTTAAAATTTGAAAAAACGGATCACTTTCAATTTACGTACTGTTGACAGCATTACCAGCATTTAATAATCCGTATGATTCCGAATCAGCAATTTATTCACCATCTAGTGCCAAAAAATACGACTTCCCCAATGAATATGGTCTGCGTAAACAAAACATCACAAATACTAATCAAAAAACTTGGTGTTCCAAGAACCCGACGGTAATTTTTATTTTGTATGGGCACCACAATCCTCCAACCGAAGAACTTCATTTAGTACAATACGACTCACTTTGGACAGTGATGAAACGCATGATGGTAATAAATAACTTTTACAGAATATTATTTATTTATTATATATTAATAAAATTAAAGAGTGATTATAAAAATTTTATTTGTTTAGAACATCAATGCAAGTTTTCCATTAATTTCCACACGATTGTCACAAAGTGATTTTTGTCCGCCGAGGGTATGTTAAATATAAATTTGGTTCTACCAAATTTTCGGTACCGCTGTGCAATGCTATTTATGGATAGTGACTTTATCAGTATATAGCTAAATAAATACGTACTTGTACATATCGATATCGATATACATGTATTTAAAAAGAACTTAAAGACTACGTAATTCTGAATAGAAGCATTCCGAATCATATTAAAAAATATAACCACTCTGGAGTGGGTTATGATCCATATTTGATAATTATTTTAATAACTAACTTTTATATGCTTTTACCCTTGCTGAAACAATAAAAATATTTTCTTGAGCAAGATTCCATGGTAGAATTTAAATTGAAGGTATGTAATTAGATATTTAATACTTCATTTCTAAAATGCAAATAATTTAAGCATATATATCATGTATAGATTGCAATGACAGATACTGATACTAAAGAATGGAAAGCTTTATCAGAAATATGACCAGACATTTATCTTCTTCTCTGCTTTTTTTATGTGTGGCAATGCTGAAAAAACTATCAAAATCATTTACTTGACAATTATGAAGATAAAATAAGCATATAGTTTAGGAATCAAATACATATTTTTCTTAATAATATAATTAACTCTATTAAAGAGATGAATTATGTTTTTAGCATTTGTCAATATATTTCAAATATCAAAAAAGTCTTAATATATCAAGTGAAACAATACAAAGAGCAACTATTCAACCAATATCTTGGAATTCTCAAGAGCATTATAAAATTTTGTACTTATCTTGAAGAGATTTGGCTTGGAAAATTAATTTATAGATGATGCAGTTCAGAAAGAAAACATATTACAAAGAAATGTGAAATTGAATTCCGTTATTTTTACATTACAAATAATCATTTAGAATCATTTAGTAACACACTTAAAAAAATTCATCTAACATAATATTGGCATTAAGATAGATAACTATGTGTAGATTTTTTAGTTATTAAATTTATAATTTCAGATATACTTCTTTAATACTTGCAAACTGATTTTTATATTATGAATTTGAGATCTATACTTTTCAGGTTCCCAGTCTACAACAAGATTCAAATGCAAACTTATTATAAAAAAGAGCTTATCAGTTATTTTAAAGAAAATACTAAAGAATTTTTTGTTTGGATAAGATTTCAACAAATAGAAAATATTACTTATATAATATAATTAATATTGATTACTTTCATATTATATTAATATCTTGATTTTTTATTTTGAAGAGAAGTCAGCAAATATATAAGAGTAGCATTAATATTTATAAATAATCCAAAATGAAAAGAAAAGTTTAAGTTACTGAATATGAAATTATCAATTTTCAAAGAAATTATCACAGTATATAATATTGATCATATTATATTTAATGAAAAAAATTCAGAAAATTTATGTAATGAAAATAGCAGTATTGAAACTAAGTTTGATAAAGATTCAAATCTGTAATAATATTATCTCAAAAAAATAAATTATATCAAATTAATAAAAAGTTTATAATAAAGAAATTTGTAATCTAATAAAGCAAAATTATAATATATTAATAATTCTATCCAAGATTTATATCTTTTCTTTTTTGTTGATATCAACTATCTTTTAATTTGACAGTATAAATATATTGCTATCAGAATATTTATTACAAATTTTATTAATAATAAATAAAATATTTTGAAAAATTTAAAATAATTAGCAGACAATTTATTTGAGCTCATAAAAAATAATAATTATAAAATATTAATAATCTTTTATAATTATTTCATGATCTTTTTCAAATAGAATTAATATAACAAATTAGTGAAATCATATCATTATATAAATTAATAACAAGAGAAATATCTAGAAAATATAATTAAAATTTATCTTAATATGAAGCTCTTTTATTTTTTCTTGAAAAACAAATGAATTAGTATATATTTTATTCAATAATATAAAAAATAAAATAATTTTTAATATATTTCTTTATTTATTTTATAAAAAAATCTAATTTATTCTAAATATATTATATTAATTTTTAATATATATAATAATAACAATACTAATAATTAATAAAATTATATAAAAATAATTTTTTTATTGACATTTTGTATTAATAATTTTATAGTTTTACATTGCTAACTGAATATATTCTCTGAGAATTGAAAACTTTTATTGATTATTAGGTGTAAGTTTTT